CGCTCTTCCGATCTACTTTGATGAAGTTAAACACATATTTTGGACTACGCATCATATATTTTAATAATTCAATGAACCAAGCAAAACACTAGTACTAAATTATTCAAGAATTACTCTTTTGATATTACAATCTCTTCATTACAATTTCAACATAATTTTGTCCTTGAATAAAACGACTCCAAGAGTAATTATTCTTTACTTATAACAAAGTAAATAAATTAATGTATATGCTACTACTAAATACAAAATATTATTTTTAATCATTCTACAAATTGCGTTACTGAATTATTAATCACGTAAAATTTAGAAAATTAAAAGAAAACAAAGTAAATATCTTATGCAAATTACGAAAACCAAACATCGGATGAGAAATTAAAAAAAAAAAAAAAGTGAACTACTAGTAAATATACTACATAGTGATATTTAAATATACTACATAGTGATCTTTTAAAAAAAAAATAAATAATACAACTAATCTAGTTAATACTATATAGACACCAAATCAATATGCCAAATTTGGTCATTGAATGGAAGAATCTTGAACCATAATGCATTATTAACTTTCCATTATAAAAGTAATATTTCTCAGTCCTCACTGTCCTCTGCATTGCTCCTTTTGGCTTTAAAAAAAAACCTATAGAATCATCTCTTCCTTTCTCCACACTTCATTCTCTCTTGGATCTCTATTTTAGACACCATTAACACAATATAATTCTGCTTACTGATTCGACAGAATTCAGTAACTTTGGTTCAGACGCTTTATTTTCAAGAATCCAGAACGCATAAACTCAAAATTCTAGCTCCGTCTCCGCCGTCAGAAACAACAATGTGTGACAAAAATGAAACTTTACTGATCAACAAGAACAAGGAGTTAGGGAGAAGTGTATCGAATGAATACGACGAATTGAGGAGTTTTAGGACATGGCTAAAATGGATGTGTGTAGATCAATCTGATCCATTTTCAGCTTGTCTTTCTTGGTTTGTTTTTGTTCTATTGGCTATAGTTGTGCCTTGTCTTTCTCATTTCTCTTTAGCTTGTAGCGACTGTGATGCTGCGTACAATAGACCTTATGACAATGTTGTTCAGTTGTCGCTCAGTAGTGTTGCTGCTTTGTCTTTTGTTTGTCTTTCTCGTTTTGTTAAGAAATATGGGCTGAGGAGGTTCTTGTTTCTTGACAAGCTTTGTGATGAGAGTGAAACAGTCAGAAAATGCTACACTGTACAACTCAATGTAAGTCTCTTCTTCTTATTTTTTTTGTTTATTGCACTCTATTACAAATAGGTCACGGATTCGAGCCATGGAATCAGTCACTGAATGCTTTGCATTAGGGTATGCTGCCTATATCACATCCCCTTGGGGTGCGGCCTTTTCCCTGATCCTGCATGAACGTAGGATACTTTGTGCAGCGGGCTTTTTTTTTTTTTCTTTTTTCACTCTATTACCATTGGAGCTACGTACTCCATCCGTTTCAATTTAGATGAGGTAGTTTGACTCGGCATTGAGTTTAAGAAAATAAAAATACTTTTGAAACTTGTGGCCTTAAAAGCTTAAGGGGTAAAAGCTTTATGAGACCATGACATTTGTGTGGTTATAAAAGCTTCTCATTAAGGGTAAAATAGGTAAAATGAAGAGTTTAAAGTTGAATTATTTTTAATTATAGAAACATATCATTCTTTTTGGAACGGACTAATAAGGAAATTGTGTCATCTAAATTAAGACAGAGGGAGTATCTCTTTTGTGAATTTCAAGAGAGTAACAAGCAGTTTTAGGGATCATACCTTGTAGTTCTTCCCTTTCATTTCATATGATTATATTAGACTATACACAGAGCTTAAGACTTTGATTTGGCTTATATATTGTAATATAAATTGTGATGAAAGAAAATGGTTGAAAAAAATAATCAAATCAAAGATTAAAATTGGAATACTTAAATGCATTCTTGAAAATTTTGTTACTCACATTTATTAACATTATTATTGGAATTGTGTCAAATTTTTGAGAAATTTCAGAATAGAAAATACTGTTAAACTCCTATATAAGTTGCATTTCATATTTGTTAGATCAGTTAATAGGAAGCAATTTGTATGCCTTCATTCAACAAGATTTAACAATAATGTAACGCTTCTTCTCCATCGGGGTAAGGATAAGGTCTGCGTATACACTACGCTCCCCAGACCCCATTTTGTGAGATTTTACTGGATCGTTGTTGTTGTTGTTGTTGTTGTTGTTGTAACTCTTCTTCTCAATATGCAGAGTTCACTAAAGATCCTATTCATATTTGTTCTACCATGTTTTGCTGCTGAATGCGCGTATAAGATTTGGTGGTACACCTCAGGTGGCACACAAATCGCCTTCTTAGGCAATGTCATCGCGAGTGACATTGTCGCGTGTATTCTAGAGCTCACTTCTTGGCTTTACAGGACCGTCGTGTTCTTTCTAGTTTGTGTCCTATTCCGGTTGATATGTTACCTTCAAGTTCTCCGGCTACAAGATTTTGCTCAGGTTTTTCATGTAGATTCGGACGTTGAATCAGTGTTGAGAGAGCATCTCAGAATCAGGAGGCATTTGAGGATCATTAGCCATAGGTATCGCGCATTCATTTTGTGGGCGTTGATGTTCATTACAGCAAGCCAATTCGCGTCCCTTCTCATGACTACGCGCTCAACTGCAGATCTTCATATCTATAAAAGTGGTGAACTTGCGGTATGCCTTATACGCGTTCTTCATTTTTCATTGCTTCCTATATTCAACACAAATAATTTGAATTAGATCATTGATCACAGTTGATATAAATGTGACACTCAAAAAATGAGAATGTAGCACAACCATATCTATCTTGAACTAAATCATTGATCACAATTCTATAAGTGAATTTGTGATACTGAATGCTATATTTCACTGTCCAAGTATTTCTAGCAACAGAACAGATTTACCAAATCAATCACTCCTTCGGTTCCATTTTATATGACACTTTCCTTTTATATTTGTTCTGAAAAGAATAGCACAATTCTACTTCTCATATATCTTTAAGTTTAAAGGGATCTTTATATAAACAGCTGGTCGAATTCGCTGTTTACTTTACCTAGCTGATATACATAAATTTTACACTAATTATATATGGTTATACACATAGAGGTCGTTTGGTAGCTGGTTAGAAGAAAGGTTATTCATGTATAAGGGGTAACATAACTTATACCATGTTTGGTAGGCAATAGTTATTTTGTATAAAATTCTGCATAACTAATACCATGTTTGGTTGACATTTTTCAATTATGCATAAATAATACATGTATAAGTTATGAGTCAATTATGCGGGGTAGAAGATGGAATAACTAATACATGTATTAGTAATACATGGATAAAATACTGAAATGACAAATTTACCCCTATCACTTTACACATAAGGCTTCCTTATTTCTCTGCCAACCCGGTTTCACTTGCTTTCACTTGCCAACTATATACCTTGTCTTCTCTCATTTTTAAAGAACAAACTAGCAAAAGCAAACTGGAGAAGCAACTAGAAAATGGAAATACCAAAACTAAGAAGTGAAAATCAAATATGTCTAAACTTCACATAGTTCGGTAGTATGACGAAGAAGTGAAAGTAACACCCAAAGTTCCTAACTAAATTGTTTCCTACATAAATGGAAAGAGAGAAAAAACAATGCAAAAGAAGGCCGGGGGTATAGTTGTAAACAAGCATTTTACTTTAAAATTTATATAATGTATATCAATTTCTAATACAACAAACCAAACATTCAAAAAAATAATCTCTGCATAACTAATACCTGCATAACTAATCCCTGCATTACTTATCCCTGCATAACTAATCCCTGCATAACTAATACATGTATAACTAATACCTGCATAACTCTAACCGACAACCAAACGACCCCATAGTATATATGGATTATACATATATACATCTGCCGATTAATTTTAGTTTAAGCGGTTAGGTGGACGACTCATCTTTCCTTGAGCTGGGGTCTATTAGAAACAACCTCTATACTCTCAAGGTAGGGGTAAGGTCTGCGTACACACTACCCTTCCTAGACCCCACTTATGGGATTTACTGGGTTTTGTTGTTGTTGTTGTTGGTTAGGTGGACAACTATTTAGGTTAATTCTTCGATTTTTTCAACTTCCCGTTTGCCCTAATGACATGCTCTTTTAGCGTTCTAAATATACTTCTGGTATGTGTCTAAGAACCTCATTTTCTTTCTTAAAATCCGTGCTCAGTCAGATACTATCATATAAAATGAAACCAAAGGCGTACCTATTATGATTTTTATCATATAAAAGACCGAGGAACTACGCCTAGTTTAGTAGTTTAACTCATTTCCCCTAGCTATTCCAGCAAATCTTCATCTTTAATCATCTGTTAGTTGCTGTTACTCGTAACTAAATGTCGTCGTCTTAATATGCAGCTTTGCTCTGTCAGTCTTCTTGCTGGTCTCATGATACTGTTGCGAAGCGCGACCAAAATCACTCACAAGGCTCAATCTGTGACATGCCTTGCAGCCAAATGGCATGTATGTGCAACAATAGACTCATTCGATTCGATTGAAGGCGAGACGCCAGTTACTCGGGCAACCTGTGGCCAAAGTTTTCCTGAATGTTCAGAAGGATCTGATTCTGATGATGTTGGAGATGAAGAAGACGAGTTGGACAATACAAAATTTGTTCCTGCTTATGCCTATAGCACAATTTCATTCCAGAAAAGACAGGCACTAGGTATGCTGGTTAATATCATTATTCGTTTAACTTCTGTGCACTGACAATGTATCATATACTGTAGTACCTTAGGAAATATAATAAGTACCTACTGTCAGAGGCGGACCTATATTTGGAGTAGATGGGTTACTGACCCTGTTAACTTGGACAAAAGTTCTGAATATATATGTATATATGTTAAAAAAAGGTCATATATTTTATTTGGAAGTTGGAACCCTTAAGATCAAAAGTTAGATGAGTATACTGGTTGAGCAGTCCGCTCATGTGCCCCCACCACCTTCAAATCCTATGCCCATATCTGCATACTGTAACAGATAATATAAAAGAAATTTCAATTATATATGTTTAATCCTACTCCAGCTTACCAAGGACATGACCCTCGATAGGAAAGAGTGGAGGTCGAGAATAGCATCTCGTAGTCTTACTAGTAGCACTAGTACTATTTTTGTATTTTCTTATTCCTGGTGCTTTATTATTACATGTTGTGCCATTTGCTCCTATTACATTGATGTTGCTACTGTTTGTTATTTTATTTTCACGGTTTCTTGAGCCGAGGGTCTATCAGAAACAACCTATCTACCTTCACAAGGTAGGGGCAAAGGCGGACCTATGGCTTATGTTGAGAGGGGTTACCGGATCCCGTAAACTTCGGTATAAATCTTGTATATGTATATATATATATATATATATATACCTTGAAAATGCTTAATTTAAATCATTTGGCACTCTTAACGCTAAAAGCCTTTAGGGGCCATTGATTGAACAGAATATTGTGCCCCCATCGCATTAAATTCCTGGGTCCACCTCTAGGGGTAAGGTCTGCGTACACATTATGCTCCCCATACCCCACCTATAGGATTACACTGAGTTTATTGTTATTGTTGTTGTATATGTTTAATCTTACTACTATTAAGTTCTGTATTACAGCATGGCTAGGATCATCTAATGGTAGTTCATTTTGTCACACTTATTGCAGTGAAATATTTTGAGAACAACAGAGCAGGTGTAACAATTTATGGATTCATGTTGGATAGAAGTTCTATTCACACCATATTTGGATTACAACTATCACTGGTTCTTTGGTTGCTTGGCAAAACTATTGGCATTTCTTGAATCATCGGCTATCAAAACCGGAATTTTTGACTCGTGCAACGGTTAGACTGTACGTAAAAATATCAAACGACGCGGATATATACGTGATCGATCTTTTTTCTCCGGTGCCTCCCGTTCATTCTTCGTCATTTCATCATTTTGTTGTGTTGTTCTGTTCATAAGTCCTTGCCCTTCTTAGAAGGCGAGCGCGTATAGAGTTATTTGTTGATTCAACTTTTGTATCATTTCTTGTATCATATTCTTTTTTATTGGTTTTTTGCTTGTTAAATTACTTATCAGGATGGATTGTAGTTCTGTTGCCACCTTCACTGCAGCTATTTGAGTAAATATGTTATATATGTCAATTCAGGGCGGGTGTATAGTATGGCCGCTGGGTTCATCTGTACCCAGTACTTTTATCGCGAAGCATAAATTTATGTGTAAAAATCCATTATTTGCAACAAATAGTAGGTCTGAACCCATAATATTAAAAAAATCAATGGGTTCAGTGCTAAATATCTTAAAAGTTGAACCCACAAAATCCGAATCCTGGATCCACTTCTTATGTCAAAAACTTACCCGCACCGGGTGTTTACACCAAATCAGTACATACATGACATGTGTCTTGCATATGAACTTCAATCATATGCAAGGCACAAGAATTTTTACACTTATTTTATTTTTAAGCAACAAATACTACTTAGAGCCTGTTTGGACATAAGAATTTTTACACTTTTTACGGAAAATTTTCACTTTTTTTCGAAATCAGTTTTTGGCAATAAAATTTCAATTTTCACTTGAAGATGAATTTTTCAAAAAACTGTTTTTCAAAAATTTCACTCAGATCACTCACAAAACTTCATAAACAACTCAAAATTATATCCATGTCCAAACACAACTCTGATTTTCAAATACTATTTTCACTTAAAAAATTTTCCATTTTCCATTTTTTTTTTGAAATTTTATAATTCTTATGTCCAAACGCCCACTTAGTTTGAATAATTATATATAATTATTTTTAAGTGACTTGAAATGTAAAAATTTCGTTATAGTATAAAAAAAGTTGAACACTTAAAGGATTTTTAATTGGTTTAGTGGACATATATAGAGCAAACATCCCAAAGTTTATCACATTTTATCTTATTTCCCTTTTCCTGTTTTCCCTTTTCTATTCTTTTCTTTTCTTATTTTCTTTTATTTTATTTTATATGCTTAGCTTAATTATTTCTTTTGTTCTCCTTTCTTTTCGCCTTCTGCATTTCATCTCTTCCAGTAAATTCAGCCATGCAGATTTTTTTTATTTTATTTTCCTCCTTCTAGCTTCGCCTCTTCTAAAAATAAAAAAAGTTCGATCAAAGTCTTCCTCTCTTTCATAAACTGTGTCTTTTTCCTCTCCTTGTTACACAACAGATATATATACAACAGGAGAGGAGAAAGCACAGAGAAGATATAGAAAGCACGAACAGAAATATAGCAACGCTATATAAGGCTCGATTAGTTCAGATTCGTGTTGCATAGGACCAAGTTTAGATTAACGCTGCATATGACCATTTAAGGGGAAAACTTCCTACCAAAAAAAAAAAAATCTTCATTCTCAGGTTGCTAACCCGAGACATCTGATTAAACGTCAAGATATAGCTCATCCGCGATCCGTCTAATCATAGTGTACGCTTTGTTTTGTACGTTTATGTTTTGTGATCATGAGCCATGTTTTCTTTTTTAAAAACAGTTTTTTTTTTGTAGGTTTACCAAATATTTTGTTATTTTTGAAATGCCAAATGCATTGTAGTTTAGAAAATTTTCTTTATGAAATAGTAATTCATTCAAATACAAACTGTGTTTCAGGAAAAAATAGTTCGACCACCTTCTATTGATCTTATTTTAAACTGTCATTCTATCACCAAAAAAAATATTTATTTATTTATTTAATCATATTTGACTTAAATTGTATAATTATCTCATCTAAATGTTTAAATTAGCAAAAATATGTGTTTAAGTACTTTCCTAGCCTGATTTTTTCATGAGCCAAATATAATTATCTACTGTGATACTATATTAATAATCATACTTAATTTAATTAAATTTAATTTATATACATTATCAGTGTGATTAGACCGTGAATTTATCAATTTATACTTATCAAGAAATTACTTCATATATAAAGTTATCAAGTTTATCCTGATATTAATTACTCCCTCTATTCCGGTTTATCTGAATCTATTTCCTTTTTGGTCCATTCCAAAAAGAATAATCCCTTTCTAAATTTGGTAGCAATTTAGGTTAAACTTACAATTCCACCCTTAATGAAAAGCTTTTATAACCACACAAATACTCTGGACCCTTTTTTGACTTATTTAGGATCACAAATTCCAAAAGTCTTTATTTTTTCTTTAATTCCGTGCTCAGTCAAACAGGTTCACATAATATTTATAAAATTTTTACCTATTTTTATCTTGTATGTGTGTGTGTATATATATATATATATTTTTTTTTATTATTATTATTATTATTATTATTATTTTAATTTTTTTTTTTTGGACAACAAACTAAATACATCTTTCCCTTCAACATAAACTAGGCTTCTCTGAACTCTGAAGAATGGAGTTTGATAATTCTCCCATTAATCAATGCTCCAAAAATCACGAGAAGATATATCAAGAATGGTTCAATTTTGCTGATTCGGGTCTGTTCTCTCTCTCTCACACACACACACACATCATTCATATTTAAAGATGTGCATGCAATTTACTTATTGAGTAAAAATTTGGGTTAATTACAGATGGAGATGGACGTCTCACTGGAAAGGATGCCACCAATTTTCTTGCAATGTCAAACTTGCCTCGTGATCATCTCAAGCAGGTTTATTTTTTGTACTTAATTCTTTCAATCAACTCATAGTAATAGAGTGGACAAACTACTTTAAGATTGAAGCATAGTAAATAGATGAATCCTTTCACTTATTTGCTTAATATTATCATCTTATACCAAAATTCGCTTGGAAAAATGGAATACCAAAGATTTCAGTCATTTTCGTGCATTTCCACTCTTATTTTCACGGCTTTCTTTCCTTTCCGGTTTTCTGTCAGTGGCGGAGCCATGATTTTCATTAAGGGGTATCAAAATATTGAAAAGTAAACAACAACAACAGCAATCCCAGTATTTTCCCAGACCAGTATTTTCCCACAATTGGGGTCTGGGGAGTGTGAGATGTAGGCAGCCTTACCCCTACCCTGGAAGGGCAGAGAGGCTGTTTCCAATAGACCCTCGGCTAGAGAACAAAATATAGAAAAGTAAACATTACGGAAAAATAAAGGGGATTAAACATATAGTATATATACATAAACGAAAAATTTACCTACTTACACAGTGTATTTTCCCCGCGAAGGGGTGTTAATTTTGGGTGTTAATTGACAGCCCTTGCTATAAGGTGGCTCCGCCACTGACTAGGGTGGTTATCTCATGTCTGTTTCAATGTCGAGCTAGACATGTGTGTCCGAACTCGCGAGTTTCCTCCAAGTTAGGGGCGTGGATAGAAGGGGTTTCAATTGAATCCTTAGGCAGAAAAATATATTTTGCAAACATGGCAAACAGATTTTTTTTATTGTATATACATTGTTGAATCCCTTTTACATAAAGGAAGATTCTATTATAGTGGATAAGCGGATTCAAATTTGCTTTAGGTCACAGGTTCAAATTTTAGGTGTGACATTCTTGTATTTTATCTAGTCCCCTTGTTCAAAATCCACTGCCTTGAGGTTTCTTGTTAGGTTATTTGTTTCTATAGTTGTGTTCTAAATGATTATTTGTTGTCCAACAATTTGTCATCTTGACTCGTTTTTTACGACCTTAACAATTTGGTGTTCATGTTGGATGCTCAGTTGTTGAACTAGTGTACTTGTAGCTGTTCATTTCCTAAAGGCAATAGCTCATTTCTTCATCTTCAGTTCTATAGGTGAATCAATTCAAGTATAGAATTTTCCTTTGTGTAGCAGAATGCTGGAAACCATATTGGAACTATTTTCTTTTGTTTGATAAGCTAAACCC